CCCAATCTCTCTCTCTGTAGTACTACTCTAGCTGCTATGGCGCCCAGCGCTGAAGACTACAGCTAACGCTACTAGCGCCCAGCGCTGAAGACTACTGCTAACGCTACTACTACTACTGCAGCGCTCTCCAGAGTACTGCTGCCAAATCCTGCCAGACTACCTCCTGCCTCCTGAACTGCACGTGCCTGGGAAGTACCTAGGAACTACCTGCAGCCTGCAGGGCGGGCCAGTCCTTTATAGTGCTGGCCCGTCCAGGAGGCTGCTCTTGCCAATGAAAAAACGTGCCAGATTCTGGGGTTGAAGCTCAAACGAAGGTTGTCTTGAAAATAGGCCAAAAATGGCCTGAGCTAAAACCCTGGTTTGGTGCCTGAGTTTCGGGACAGGCCGAACTCATGAGGGCCTGAAAAGACTCAGGGCCGGAAAGGCCCTGATTTAGGTTGAAACGACACAGGGCCTGTAGGCCCTTGTTTTCAGGCTTTCAGGCTGAAACGACATGGGGCCTGTAGGCCCTTGTTTTCAGGCTTTTGGCCTGAAAACGTCACGGGCCTGAAAGTGGCCCGTGCAGCCTGTTGCAGGCGCAGCACGTAACAATTACTCTTCTCCCTCCATCTGTCTTGCCTCCCCCCTCTCTTTTCTAATTTGGATACTCTTGACTTGGATCGCACGCGGAACTGAGGGATCATGTACTTCGATGACGTCAGGTTGATGAACTCGTTGGAATGATTATCTCACGACATTGCGCGACTTTGCTGTTTGACAACATGATTGTTTGACGAGACTGGGTTCATTACAGTAAGGTCACACAGCCTCATAAACTACAGCAAAATATCAGCAAACAGATCAATCGCAGAAGCTTCCTCAGGTAACTGCTGAAATATGTGCGGGACATTGCAAACAAAATAAAATTATAATTAAATATTTATATTATATAATATTTAGTCGAACCAAAGTGAATCGGATCGCTTCCCTGAAAGTAGTAAGAAAAAAGGAAAATCGTAGAAGGCAGAAGGGAGTGACAGACTGTGACTCCAAATGGGACCACGATTGCAGTACAGTCTTCCCCCGAATGCAATGCACATCATCATGGCTGTACCGAATTGGCAAGGTAGGTTGCATGCATTCATGATCGAGGTGCATTGTGTTCAGGCACAGATGAGTAATGGGATCTCGACTCGGGAGAATACATGGGTGACAGTTGGACGTGAAAACTTTGGGAAAAAGAAGTCGAGCCCAGCAAGTTTTGTCATGTCTGAAACACGATTGGCTGTCTGTATGTGCATGGTGAAGCCGACCTCACGGATGCTCTGTATCAGCATGCTGCAGACGGCATCAATGATATGATCTCTAGCAAGAGGTATGTGTCATGTGATCCCCCGTTTACAGCAAATTCAACCACCCGCCCAGGAGTACGAAACACACACCTTCACTCTTGTCAATTTCTTTTCTCTATTCCTTCGTTTTCTGAGCCTATCTTCTATGCATGCATGCATTGGTGCATCCATGCAAATGTGCATATTGTAATGACCCGCCAAAAACACAGACTGACAACACTGCTGATTTCTGGGATTTGCCGCTGGAATGAATGCCTTGCTGAAATTCGCGCATTCTGCTGTGATTTCCATGTCTGTGTGTGTGTGCGTGCCTGCTGGTTTGCATGCCTGTCTGAGTGCTTGTCGGCTGAGTGTGTGTATGACCCGCAAGGGGACTTGTTGGATGAAAGGGCCCGCAGGGCTGGTACTTACCTGTGGCCGTGACTTTGAGGGTTGCAAGGGGGAAAACACTCGATTAGTGGGGGGGTAGGCCCGCAACACAGAGCAGAAGGGAAACACTCAAGTAGCAGGTAGGCCGGTACCACTGAAGTAGTGGTAGAAGCGTCGGGTACTGGAGGCCGAGCAGAAGAAGACAAAAAGTTGGCATTTTTAGAGGCCCAGTAGCGGTAGGCTAGAGGTAGGCCGGTACCAGTCGAAGTAGCCCGGGTCTAGGGCCTGTCCGGAGGATAGCAGAGCCTGCAATGATGTTTCCCTCCGAAAGGGAGGAGGTACCGGTTGCTGGGAGGCCACTCGGCCTAGGAAGTCACTGCCCATGAGGCCAGTAGGCCGCTATATCTTCCGGAGGAGCAAGTAGCTCCTCCTCATTTGCGGTATGCAAGGATTGGCGACATGCTGCTGGAGCACAGCGCTGGGCTGATACAGCGCTGCTTGGAGGTGAAGGGCAGCTGGCGCTCAGCCTGGCGGCGAGCAGCCCAGCCTGAGGAGGAGGAAGAAGGGGGCGAAGGAGGAGAGTGGCGAGGCACCTACCTGGCTATGGTGGACACCGTCTTCATCACCGTGTTGGGCACTGCATCTGGAAGGCCCCAGTTGGGGTAGTACCGCACCAAGGAAGCTCGAGGCAGAGTCAGGCATGGCGGACCAGTCAGCAGCAGCATAGCTGCTTTGGGTTGTCCTTTGGACAGGAGTGCAGCGCCATAGCTGCTTTGGGTTGTCCTTTGGACAGGAGAGCAGGGCCCTCAGTAGTCCGCCATAGCCAATGCATGTGAGAGGAGGCAGAAGGAGGGAAGCCATAGCTATGGTGGACTTGTTGTTGTTGTTGTTGTTGTTGTTGTTGTTGTTGTTGTTGTTGTTGTTGTTGTTGTTGTTGTTGTTGTTGAGTCAGCAGTAAGAGGGAACTTCGGATATTGATTCTGGTTCATCCACTCATTGTTATTATTATTATTGGGAGAAGAATAAGATTGGCGAAGTGAAGGAGGAGGAGGAAGGTRGAGAGAGAAGGGGGAATTGTCATTGGTCTTGCTGGTGTACATCTTCTTCTTCTTCTTCTTCTTCTTCTTCTTCTTCTTCTTCTTCTTCTTCTTCTTCTTCTTTCTCTTTCCTCTGGTCTCTATCTCTTTGCAAGTGCTTTCATTTCCCTCGCAATTGGGTGGCATCGCCTTTCATTGTGAATTTGCACTTTGGGAATGACCAGGATCGTAACAATATGCATGCACCCATGCAGACGTGCATGTGTGTATGGACGCATCCATG